ATTACGTAATATTTAAATAGATGCCAATGTAAATTTGGTTTTAATTAGCAACTTGTTGGGTCAAAAGTCATTGCAATTTGTTAACGACTTGCCAGCCGGCCGGCCTACCAAAAATTAAGTGCGCGCCAGCGGTTACCGCTGGCAATTGGCATCTAAGTTCATATGATATACATGAGCCTACTATGACTTTCCTTGTGCTATTTTTTCTCAATTTTTTAAGACTACCGCTTGACCATCTCTGTTTATTCCCAGAAATTGTATGAAACCCAATTTTGCTGATAAAATATATCCGTATTTGGTTTTTGAATTATTAGTATATTAATTAATGGGATGGGTGGCTTGATCTGGGTGGCATGTATTGAAGAGAGGGGAAAAATGTGGAAAGTCCAGGTTAGTTGAAGGGTAGGGTGGTTGGTAGTAGGACAACGTACGTTTCCAAACCGTGTGGGCGTCCCCCTTCGTCAGTGGCGGACAAGACCATGCAATCCTTTCTAACTGAATCATCCTTTTGTTTTGGCCAAGTTTTTAGGGTTTTATATTAAAAGAACAAAAATTGATATCTAATTTATTGATTAGCTAATTAAATTTATTTACATTATAAGAATATCGAAATTAATATCAATTTTTAAATTTTTTTATAAAAATTTATAATGAAAAAAATACCCTTAATCTTTACCTTTAAAGACATATATTAAAAAAATCTTTATTTTTACATTCAATTAAAATTATCAAAACTTTCTTTAATGTTTAGATAGTTAACGTAAAAAAATCAAGAAAGCATAAGGGTGTTTGTTTTAGCTTTTTACAAACAATTATTAATCGTTGGTTCTAATCAAATGGATTAAATATTTTAAATTATAAATAATAATGATTATTAAACGTCAAATATCAAATATCAATTATTAAATTTATCTAAACAATTAATTCAAAGAGCTTCTTAACCATAATGTTGAAATCAAAGATTGCATTGCATTGCATCTTGTAATGAAATATTGTCTATTTTGACATGTAAAGTTAATAATTTTATCCCTAAAATGAATCCTCATAAGATTAGACATTGACACTTTTATATAAACCATAATTATTCTTAATTGATTTTTGAGCGTGAGATTCTGGTCTTACTCTACTATTACATTAATTGCAATTTGCAAATGGATGGGGAATGGCGGTGTGGTGTGTGACATGATAAATTGCTCTAGATTTGGGCATGAAACTGCGTGGAAGTTGGGTGCAATTGCCAAGCCATATGTCTCACCAATGACATAATATGTTGAGATCACCAACATCCACCATTCCTTTTAGTAAATTGCAAGGAGTTTGAAAAGCCGTATGTATCATCCACTTGGACCTTGACATCTCTTGGAATTTCAATATTTTTCTGTCCCCCCCATGACTTTCTCGTGCCTTTTCTCTGTCATTCCCCGGGTTCCCTCCCTATTCTTCTCTTCATCTTTTTTTTTTTCTTTTTTGTTTTTTTAATACCTATCTCTATAAATTGAGAGAGCTTTAGAATGACGATACCAAGTTGGGGAATGCTCCCTTAGCCTCTTCTTCTCCCCACTTTCCTTATTCTTTCCTCATCCCTCCATCTCTATATATCCCACCTTCTCATACCCATCTCTCATTCTCTTAACAATTTCTTCTCTCCTCTACCCTTCAAACTACTGCATACCAATTCCTCAATGGATTCTACCGGGGTTGACACTTCTCTTGACCTCAATCTCAATTCATCCCATAACAAAGCTACGGTGAGTAGAAATTAATGGGTTGATTCAGAAACGAACATGTAACTTGTGTTTCTTTGTTATTTGGACTTTCCTAAGCACATACTCAAGTTCTTAAATTTCTTGAAGCAGGAGACAGAACCTGTAGCCGAATTTGTTGCCTTTCAAGGGAAAGAACTAGTTAAACAAGATGTGAGTCTTGCTTCATTAGAAATAGGTTCTTATTCTCTTAATTTGATAGATGCCCATTTTCAGATTCTTTCTTAATCACCATTTTGGGTGAATTGTTGAAAATTTGGATACAATTTCCGGTGAATAGGTAAGCGTTTCGGTGGAGGAATTTAACCGGATAAGAGCAGAGAACAGGAGGCTAACGGACATGCTAACTATCGTCTGTGAGAGTTACAACAGTCTGCAAAACCAGTTCATGGAGTTGAAGAACAAGAACTCTGAGAACGAAGCTGGAGCTACAAAAAAGAGAAAGGCGGAGGCGGCGCATGACGATTACGCCTACATGATCGGATTCAGTGGTCGTAGTGAAGGTAGTTGCAGTGATGAAGGGTCAAGTCAACGGCCTAAAGAGACCATTAAAGCAAGCAATATTGCAAGGGTTTGCGTTCGCACCAATCCTTGTGATAGCTCCCTAGTAAGTGCTAATTGTCGTCAAGGTGTTTGTGAAAATTCCTAAGTGAATCATTATATCTGTTTGATACATTAATTTTATGTAAAAATGCTAAGAATTAAATGGGTTTTTGTTGCAGATAGTTAGAGATGGATATCAATGGAGAAAATATGGTCAGAAGGTCACAAGAGACAACCCATCTCCTAGAGCTTACTTCAGATGCTCTTATGCCCCAAGGTGCCCGGTCAAGAAAAAGGTAAGCTAATTGATTCTCTTCTTTTGATTTGTAACGATTACATTGTTCATGACCTAGATAGAGGACTCAAACTCGAGACTTCAATTTTCAAGACCAGCTTGTGCTTTATGATTGAACCAAACCCTTGACCCTTGATGAAGATTTTGGAGAAATTTTTCTTTCTTTCTTATATTAATCAAATTCTGGTATTTATCATTTTCAGGTGCAACGGAGTGCTGAAGATTCATCAATCTTAGTGGCAACATATGATGGCGAACACAACCACCCATGCCCTTCTCCAGCTGAGATATCAATGAGCCCAAGCCATGCTGCAAATCCTATTCGTCCTGTTCCTTTTACTGCCTCCATCGAACCTTCAGCTACTAGTGTAACGCTTGACTTGATGCAACCAGGATTTATTGGAGACGTGAAAAAATCAGTAGGGGAAATGGATGCTCTAGAAATACAACAGATTTTGGTGCAGCAAATGGCAGCTTCTTTAACTAGAGATCCCAATTTCACAGCAGCACTAGCAGCGGCCATTTCAGGAAGAGTTTTAGAGCAGAGTAGGGTAGAGAAATGGTGATAAGAGACAAAGTTCATGGTTCTGTATCTTTTTTCCTTATCAGTTCATTTTGAATATGCAAGAGTGTGATCAAGTGATGTAAATATATATCCACAGAAGTGGGAAAAAAAAAACTGAAGAATGCAGTTCTTTGTATTCATTTGAGTAAGAACGTACTTAGATTATTCGTTTCTCTTACCTGTTTCAAAGTTGGAACCTAATTTTTTAGATCAGGATGGATATCATAATCCAGTGGAGTAGCTAGCAAGGAACTATTAAAAAGAAGTATTCAAAGGTCTTTAATGTTATTTTCAAAAAACAAAACCCTACCGCCTCTCTTCTCCCCTCTCTCATAGCCGCCCCTTCCTTTTCTTGTGTTTAATTTTCCCTCTAGTCGTTGCAGCCTCTCTCTTCCACAATGGCTAGGGAGGATGAATAAAATGTGAGAATTTCTCTTCTTTCTTTTTTGTGAATGTTTCTTTCTCATAAAAAGTTTATTTCTCTTTTAGGATCTCTATCTAGATTTTCTCAATATTTTTATTAAATTTTATTATGATAAAGAATGAGACAAAGCAAGGGTAACCGCTTGAAATTGTTGAAATGATTGTCTATATATACTCTGTAACCCTAATTCATGTTCTTACAATGATTACTTTTCGTAATCTTTTAATTTTAAGTGACTTTTTATCTTAGTCTTAATCAGTTAATTAGATATGTTTACAAGCGTTTATGACCTATTACTATATATTATAAGTACAACTCCAACTTTTGTATGTCCATTTAAGATTATGAGGGTTATAGTATACCATGTAATCTTTGGTTTACTTATCTCTAATTTATTTTGTCTATATGACACTTATTATAGATTTTCTTGATTTACTATACCTGGTTTATCAATAAATTTATAATTATTTTACTAATTAAGAAAAAAGAAGTGCACCTGGCTCTAAAGGTGACGGCACTAGTCATTGAAGAGGTGCATTTTTTTTTTTAAGTAGGTTTCGAACCCGCTCCATGTTAAAATGTTAAAAAAAAAAAATTAAGGAAAAAGAAGTCTTTAATATTATGATGTTGTTTGTATTAATCCACTAGTTGGTGGTGGAAGCCGTGTGATTTCTTGTAATTTTATTTTATTTTTGAATGGCCTTCTGCGTTTCAAACTTTGCGGCCGATTTCTTGTTCATCTACTCCCATTACGCAAAGCTTTTCCACAAGATAAAATCGCATCTGAGGAATTAGTTCCATGATTCCGCCGGCATTGACTGGTTTCATGTGAACACAATTATTCCCGTTTGCGCATGCAACAGGCATGTTTTCTTTAAAGGCCGAAATATATTGCTCCACATTACTTTGGACTTAGCTCACCGCTGCTTTTATTTATTCTGTTTTTTTTTTTTTTTTTTGAGGAAATTCTGTTTTTTTGTAACTTAACTTCCCAACTAATCTTTCAAAGTTCCTTCTTCTTCATTTTTTTTTTTTAAATGTTATAGCCTTGACTTATTCGCCTAGAAAATAAGTAAAATTCGTCTATTTATGTTTAGATAAGTGGTTGATATATAATAAACTACTGGTTAAAATATTATTTTAATGTTTTTATTTTAACAAAAAGTTTTCTTTTCAACCCTTTTATTTAAAAAAAAAAATTTTTAGTCTTTAAAATTTATTTTCCAAAAATTTTTTAATCGTTTCATCATCTTTTTGCAAATATAATATGTTAATATATACTATGTATGAAAAATAATAATAATAATATAGAGAAATTAAAAGTAGGTTAGATAATAAGCTTTAAAGATTAAAACATGTCTTTTTTAAGTAGAGATGGTAAAATGATATTTTTTATTAGAGTAAAAAAAAAAAAAGATCAGAATGAAGTTTTAACCTTAAATATTTAATAAATAATAGTTATTATAGTTGACAATCTAAATATTTTCATTCTTTCCATTAATCCAAACTATTAACTTCAAACTTTATATGTGAATGGAGTAATGATAGGGAAAAGGAAAGTTTAAAACCAATGACATGACTTATATTATATCATTAAATTAGTTGATATATATAATATTATGAATTTTAAAAAAAAAATAATTATTATTAAAAAATATAAAATTCATATTTTAATATTTTAAAATTTATAACTTATATCATATCATTAATTTCAAATTTTAATATTGAATTTTGATCTCATTTATCATTATTTATCCCAACATTAAATTTTATTCTTGACAAAGTAATCTCCGATAAACTGGCATGATCGAGTGCATGGATGGCTGGAAAGGGTGTTTTATTTTAGAGTAAATAGCTGGAAAGGTTTATAATGAAGTTTGGTTGCCTACGTCTAAAGGGGATTAATTAGACTCTTTTTTCCGCAAGGCAATATAATCGTACTTGGAAGAGTACTTAAGTCCAAGATTCAGTTTGATTTTGCATTCAATCCTACTACTTTTATTTCTAATTTAATCCACGTGTTTAGGCTTTAGACCATTCTCAAATCAATTCCTCAAAATTATTCTACAGCTGTTTTCATTTTCTATGGACAAAAAAATCTTTTAGCTTTAGACCTAAGGTAGGATCCATTTTTTTCCTGCAATATTCTCAAGACTTCATATTACTTTCGGCACTTGTAATCTTTTTCCGTTACCTTTAATCTTTAGAATAAAAAATAATAATAAATCTTTATCTAGTCGTTAAGTATTACACACATTAAAATGACAATTTAAAAATCTTATTTAATAATGATTTAGTTACACTATTTCTTTTTGATATTTGTATATATTGTTTTGTAATTAAGTATTTTTATTCACGAAAAAAAAAACGAAACACACGACCTATTAACCCAACTTATTAAAAGATGCTCCTCTAAAATTGTACTCAATTAAGAAAAAAAAAAAAAAGATAATGATACATGCACACTCTCACACCACACACTCCGTTATACACTTCAATTTCCGTTATTTTATCGTTAATTACATTTAACTTCGTTACCA